AAAATGTATTCCTTTCTTCTTTACATATAACATGACTGTTCTTCATCTGTTCTAAGCTTTAGCTGATGCAGATCTCTACCGAATTTAACTCTGACCCATTTAATACAACATTTCTATAGTTCTGCCTTCATAATGTCGTCCAGAAGGTTAAACCTCAATCCATCCTCAGTAGGGGTGGGTATTGGCAAAGAAGTCATGATTCGATTCGAATCACGATTCACATGCCACGATGCGATTCTATCACGATGCATCACGATACTTGAAATATTGCGATGCATCGCAATATTTTCACTGAACACTGTAGGAAAAGGATACAGCCCTTACCAGTGGCTGCCTGGCTGGGTATGATCTGGATAGTGTCTTCAATTGATACATAACTGAAAGCAACTGAATTTATACATAGCTGTATTTATTGAAACGACTTTAGGAGGTGTTGCCATGAAAACAAATACTGGACACAAATATTACTATTACTGGCGTGGACACACTGACAAAAAGATCTTAGGATTCATAAAACTTAAAATAACAAATTAAGGATAATCAGTGAACCAGTCAACCAATGAAATGAAAACATTTAAATGTATGACATTTCCCCTTTTGTAAATGACGAGCGTCATATCAATTTCATTTTTACCTTCTTTGTTTTCAAAGCCTAAATGCATCCTAGTATCTTACTTGAAATGTGATGGAGCCGCAGGGCGAATTTTCATAGTGTCCTCCATGTTTTGTTTACGAATGACTCGTCGCAGTATCCCACGGCCGGACATGCTTGTGACACAAAGCAGCGTGCGTCAACACATCCGCAGCGACATCTGCTGGACTGGAAGTTGTATTCCACTTGGTTTGGCTGATGTGCGCCAACCATTCATGTATTTTATTTGTTCATTTTTTAAAATTAAGAATCGATACTTGGCGTCAAGAATCGATGCAGTAGATCACAAAAATTTGAAACGCGATGCATCGTCATGACGATTATTTTGCACACCCCTAATCCTCAGGCTGTTTTCTCCTGTTTAGCTGCAGGATGATGCTGTCACTTTGCACATTTACGTTGCCATTTGCCTTCTAAAAGACCAGAGCCTCTTCTTCTGCCCGTTAGCCATGTCTACTGTTAAATGTGTGTTTTTTGACAGATATTTAAATTGTGACAGTGGTTTTATTTTGATTTTATACACGCTTCCCTCCTGGTTTTCACTCCCATCATGACCTCAAATGCTCTCTGGCTCAGAGCCGTCGCTGCAGGACTTTAATGTTGTATGAAAAGTCGGCTGATTTCAACCCACTTTAAGCTTATTACCGCCACCTATAGGGCTGGAGTGTGAAAGAGTCTTACCCTTGTTTAATGCATCAAAAACCATAAATTGAGGCCTTTGAGTTTTGCAATTTTATTACAAATGTAATTAACTGTCCTAGCTGATATTTCTATCTCCCACCATCTCCTTCCTTTAGATCAAGTCTTCAGAGCTTCCCTCACCTTCAGCGTTCGTTTATTCTGTTCCAGATCAAAAACATAAAGGCAGCCATCATTTGCCCTGAAAAAAAAAAAAAAAAAACACAGACAGGAAATATTAAATCAATTCCCTGTCATGGTTTATACGTCATTCCAATTCCTACTTAATTAATTAAATAAATGAAATGTTGTCCGTCAAGACAAACAGCTGGAACAAGTAATCCATTCTTCTAAGCTCTGCCTGTCAGTCAGAGCTTTCACACGAGTCGTACTCACCCGCCCAGGATCTCTTTGCCATCTGTTGACGCAGCCAGCGAGAACACGCAGAACCTCCTCTCATCTGGACTACAAAGCACACACACAGACACCATTACGACAAAGCAACACGACTGAATCTCAACCACACAGCCTTCAGCACCGTATCCCACACTAAGAACAGCTAATGAGGTCATTCATCCCCTCCTAAACACATTTTCTACAGGGAGGGAAACTGACACACATAGAGGGGAAGGAGACTAAATCTGACAGCATCATTCATCCAGGTGGTGATGGAGGAGGAGTCGATGAGGCCGGCTGGTAGGGAATGATAGATTACCTGCTCCGTACTGTTATAAGTTACTATGAGGGGAAACACTAACTTGAGGTCCAGGGCGGTGTGGTTTTCACTGTCGCCATCTATACTGCACATATGAACTGTGGGAGGACACAGACAGAGAGGACATATGAGAGAGCAATGAAAGGATAAAAAAACACTGAATATGAGGAGAAAAACTGAGATTAACGACCCCTGCAGCAAGATCTTCTCATTTAACAAGACTGCTGGAATTAAAGAAATTAAGAAATTAAATCTTAAAATGAGATAAATGATCCAACACTTCTAAATCCAAGTTGGTTTTCTTTTAATACTATCTTTATCCGTATGGGCCGGAGAACAACAACAGGGGCAAATCAACAGATATATAAATCAACCTGTTCTTATTTGGCATTTATTATATGATTGTTCCTAATTTTTTGAGTATGAAAATGCTAATAAATAAATGTATTTACAGTAAAAATAAATGTACCATATTTTTCGGACTATAAACTGCACCTTGCTAAGAAAAAAAGAAAAAACAGAAATCTACATATA